TGATTGATTACTCAGGATGTCAAAACTCAAAAGTTTTAAAAATTAACCCAATTTATGTCAACTTAAATACCTTGCTAATTGGAAGCTTGTATTAGGGAAGTAAAAGTTTGAAAATTTGAAGAAAAAAAAATAGATGAACTCACGTCAGCTCTCCCTAATGGATTGAGGAAGTTATTCGATCAATACTTTTAATCTTTATTTTCTTTGTACATCCTCAGAGCACGGTTAGAGTAATAATTGACAAGCCATGTGATTAAACAGGATAAATTACTTAATGCTTTTGTTTTCCAAGAACTTGATGCAATAACAGTGGGAGGAATAAAGACTCTCACTTGAATTTTAAATTCAAAGCAGATGGAACCTAGGAATTACTAAGACCTTTCCCTATTGCTCTGCATTGCTGGGCTATGAGTCCACAGAAAGCATAAAAACGAGTTTCAGTTTTTAGAAAGAGGCACTGAAAGACATGCTGCCCACTGGGTTTTCCACTGAATATTCTTAGAATGTTTTGCCTTGTAGGAACACTTCCTTGTAGTGCATGTGGTTACTTCAGGGGAAGAGAATGATCCTGGGGAAAAGTTGGATTCACACCTAAGTTTTAATATTAAGAATAAAAGAGGAAATATATGTACAAGGATTTATTTCAGCAACCACTGTCACTGTCACTGTCCTCATGTTATTCATCAATTTGACCAAGCAGGCACCAGTAACATCTCCGTTGTGAGACTTGTTGTTACTGTTTTTGGCATATTGAATACATCACGGGTAGCTTGACAGGCACTGCCGTCAGGGCTGAATACTCCCAGGTAGATTGCCGGCCTCTCAGAGAGGGGCGGAGGAATTGAACCCCGGTCAGCCTCGTTCTAGGCAAACGCCCTACCCGCTAAGCTATCTCTCCGGCCCTTTCAACAACCAGACAGTTATAATTTTTAGTGCTTTATATTGGTCAGTTACAGATGACTGACATTAACATTGCATAATTTTTGTGAAGTATATAAAAACCTTAGATATTTTTTCAAAATGGTAAGACTTAAAACTTTGTGTTTGTGTTCAAGTATACGCATGCTGCTATATGTGAACAAAATGGATTTTAACTCTGGGAATTTTCTCTACATTTTTCCCCTTTCTTAAAAAATAAGGGAATTATATATTTTAACTTTATGTATACACACATATCTAGTTAAAATCTTAAAAACGCTAAATATTAACAATATTTTAATGCTGTGTAATTTTATGTTTTTCACTCATTGTTTACACATTAAATTTTATTAAATTTAGAGTTTTTCTACACATTACATTTTTTAATTTATTTATATGTTGTGGAGTGAATACATAGAAGTACTTAGTCTCACACATGGCTGGCTCCATGCCTAGGGGCCAAACCTGGATCTGTGCTTGGAGGACAATATGTACTCCAGACATTCAAATCAGGGTTTCAGAGTTCCTTTGGATTTTTTTCATGGTTTTGACAAGCCATTGGTTTCCACAAAGTGTCCTGTGGGGGTTCCCATAGGTGTGAAAAGTCTACATTAAATGGGAGTGGGGAAGTCATATTTGGAATCAGGGTCTCTGGGTTCTCCAAACTTTTCTTATAATTATTCTGTCTGTTGGTCTATATAGGAACTAGTTCAGCTACTTGAATTAAAAACCTCTATCTCAAGTTAGCATCTTATTTTCTACATGAGGCAATTGATAGATAGGACTAACTAGCTAGCCCAAAGTCAGGTAGCAAAAGTGCCAACTCATATTTGATGTGATTTTTAATCTACTCACTCCAATTGTGACAAGTTTATTGGCATATTTTGATTGTGCCTAGTTTTTAGTTGTTTTTAGTTTGGAGGTCATTTGCAGAGAAGCTCAGGGATTATTCCTTGTTTTGTGCTTAGGAAATCACTCCTGACTGCACGCGGGTTATTTTATGATATGCTGGGGGACAAACCTAGGGTGACCACATGCAAGGCAAAGGCCATACCTACCCTCTGTACTATCTCTCAGGTCTCTTGCAAGTGAAATTTGAGAGATGGACTATGAAATGTACATTCAGTAAAATCTTAATAAGCTGACCTAAATAAAATACTTATTTACAGTATGAAAAGTATCAAAATACTATCTCTAGCTTTTACTGTTTTAATAAAAATGTTACGAGCTATATACAATTATACTTTGCAAAGAAAATCCTACTTGATAATATCCAATTCTTACTAGCAGCTTTATGTAAATTGTTTTATTTAATTATGACAATCCTGACCAAAGCCAATATAATTAGTATGTTATGTGATATAACAAATTTATTCCTCATTCTTCAATTCTAACAGCTGTTAGCAAGTCAGCTCCGGGCTGGGGATGTGATTCAAAGGTAGAAAATACCTTGCAAATTTGAGGCCTTGAGTTCAATCCCCAGCACTTCATTGGCTTATCAAGTAATGCATGTCTGTTCCCCATAACAGTTAAAAAGATAACTGTAGCATCCAGGAAAGAAATAAGGGATATACTGCATTGCTGGCATGCCCGAATCTTGAGTTTGATTCCCATATGGTCCCTAAGCTCTACCACAAATAATCCCAAACATCAAGCTAGGTGAAACCCCTGAGCACCACTGTTATATCTGAAACACATAGGCAAAATGTAAAAAATAAAACCAAAATAATTCAATTCTACCTTTTCGTGACTATAAGAGGCTACAAAGAGTAAATGACATATTGTAGGCACATGCAGTTTTCTTTTGTATTGGAAATAATATAGGTCACTTATAATTATTCAAGCTTGCAAAACTTCACCCTCAGTATTTATTACATCATAATTTATAGTAGAAAATTACTATATACAAATAATGCAATTATCATTATTATATTATATATTATATGTTCAATTATATAATCATATTTTAAAATCCTTATATTACTAATACTTAAAGCAAGATCATTATATATTTATGATATTATATGAATTTGATATATTATTGCATGCAGCCAACCCGGGTTCGATTCCTCCACCCCTCTCAGAGAGCCTGGCAAGCTACTCTCCTGCCCACATAGCAAGCCTGGCAAGCAACCCGTGACATATTCGATATGCCAAAAACAGTAACGATAAGTCTCATAATGGAAATGTTACTGGTGCCCGCACAAGCAAATCAGTTAACAGGAAGATTGTGCTACAGTGCTACAGTGCACTCATTATGTATTTTCTTACAATTATTTGTACATTTTTTACAAATAACTTGAATATAGAGTATACTTTATTTTTCATTTTTTTTTCGGTTTGGGGGCCATACTCAGAGGTGCTCAGGGTTTACTCCTGACTCTGCACTAGAGATCACTTCTGGCAGGACTTGGGAGACCAAATGGGGTGCCCTGGCCTTGAGTTGACCATGTGCAAGGTACCTGCCCTACCTGCTGTACTATACCTCTGGCCCCAAAAATAAAATATGCTTTTAAATTTGTAGTGTTTTCAACACTTTACAAGATAAAATCAGTTCAAGGATGAATTCAGCACTGATTAAAATGGAATTTTCTTTTCATAGTGCAATGCTAGATATCTTAGAAAGTAATCTGTCTGTGATCCAGCCATGCCTCCTCTTGGTACCTATCTACGAAATATAAAAGCATTAATTTGAAAGGATATATATCTATATCTATATCTGTGTGTATGTGGGTGAGTGGGTATATTGTGTATATGTATATACACCTATGTTTATAGCTGCACTTAGTATAATAGCCAAGATATATATACATATGTATGTATATATATACATATATGCATCTATGTATATATGTGTGTGTGTATATATATATATATATATATATATATATGAAAATGTGGAAAGTGGTCTCAGCATGGCTGTGGCTGGTTCTGGAGGTCTTCAGCTGCCTGGGCTCTGCTCGGGGCAGGGAGGAAAACTCAACCTGCCCCCCTCCAAGGGGCCCCGGTGAGGAGAGCTAGGCGCGGGGGCAAGAAACCGGCAGAGGAACACAGGCATGCAGGTCCCAGGGCTGAGATCTCCAAGCCTGCTTGGATCGGGTCTGGGCCTACTCTATCTAGAACCCCCATCTTCCAGTAGGTAGGCATCACACCCACCAACTGCCTCTGGCACCAGGTAATCCCATCAACGGCCAAGACCCAGAGACTATAAAACCCAGCTCCCGGAAGCGCACGACCGCATTTGCAGCCGCACGACATCTTATTATCTAGTTCTTACTCTGGAGAACCCGGCAGGCTACCTAAAACATCCTGCCCGCACTGCACAGCAGAGTCTGGCAAACTCCCTATGCCAAAACCAGTAACTCAATATGCCAAAAACCAGTAACAATGATGGGTCTCATTCTCCTGACCCTGAAAGAGCCTTGAATATGGCACTTTCTAAAATATCAAGGGCTAGGACGAAGGAGATGCTTACTGGTGCCTTCTTGAGGAAATCAATGAACAACTGGATGATCGTGATCATGATATATTCATATAAATAAATATATGTGTGTATAGTATATGTGTGTATATATGTGTATGCACCTATGTTCAAAGATGTACTTAGTACAATAGCCAGGATGTAGAAATAACCCAAACACCTAACTACAGACACAGGATCAAGAAGTTGTGGTATTTTACACAGTGGAATAGTATGCAGCTCTAAAAGAGAACAAAATCATACATTTTCCACAATATATATGAAACTACAGGATATCAAGCTAACTGAAGTCAGAAGAAAAGGTATAGATGCAGAATGATCTCCCTCATACATAGAACTTAAAGATATAAGGCAAGGTTGAAACAGTTCAAAGGCAACGTAATGAGTATACAGACACACGCTGTTGAGTTGAGGGCAAAAGCTTAGGAAGAGGGGTCTCGGGTACTTGAGAGAGGGTCGGGATACACTGGTGAGGGATGTGATGTTGTCATTATGCACATAGGAAACTATTAATAATGTTGTAAATCACAGAATATGTTTTTAAATATTTCTAAAAAGTAATCTAACATTTTCCCAATTTATCATGTTTTTGTTTTAACAGATCATTTACAAATGATTAGAAGAACTGCTTCTTTCTGAGATTCATCATTTCACTTCCTGTGAATTCCTATCTTGCTGAATTTGTGAATAAGGTATGATAAAGAAAATATCTGTGATTAAGATTTTCCATTTGACTGAGAAATCATTGGTATCCTAGATTTACTTTGCAAAGGAACTCTAGAATAGGAAGGGTGTGGATTACCATGTTTGGGTGGAGAAGCCAGATAGAATATGAAATGCAACCAAGCATCTCATACAGAGGGAAGATGGATGAGATTAAGAGTACATCCAGTAAGCACATTTAGTAAGCACATATTCTTAGATAAGATTTGTTTGTGTTGATTACCTATAGGAAGAAAAACAAAAATAGAAGGTAGACTCATTGGTCTATGTTCCAATGCTTATTATTTCTTCCACTGGTAAGTAGATAAAAGCAATAAAAGGGAGGATCTCAAAAATCACCTTCATAAAACAAAAAAAAATAGCATTTGTTTATATAACTGGCAAAATTATCTGATATGTGCGTTTTCTTTGTACTTTGGCCTACTCTTTCTAATATTTAATCTTCTGTTTTATGATCTCTTTTTAGTGACAAACCAGACTCTTAAAAATAACTGGAATCAGTACTAGAAGTTTAAAAGAAACGGGTGCTGCACCTTAATTTTGCTCTGAACTAGAAAAATGGGCTGTGATCGAAACTGTGGACTTATCACTGGTGCTGTTATTGGTGCAGTCTTGGCGGTGTTTGGAGGTGTTCTTATGCCGGTGGGAGATATGCTAGTTAAGAAGACAGTTGCAAAGGTACAAGTAATTTGAAGTATATTTCTTGTCATTCTGATGTAGATGTCATTCTGATGTAGAGCACCTTGTTTATATTTCTTGGTAAATATAAATTTTGTGTCTTCAATTTAGAGGGATCTCTCCATGATAGAGATATTATAAATCAAATATGTTTATTATTATTTATTGTCATAAATATATGAATATATGCACTATTCATTATAAATACAAAAATTATGGAAAAACATAATATGTAGGTTTATAAAAATAACTGCTTGGACTTAATTGAGAATACTTTAGTATGGTTTTAAATGAAAAATTTATTTCATGAGGATAAGATTATGAAAGTAGTTGCATTGGTTAACACTGAGAAAGTAAAATTATAGTTCATATACAGAAACAATCTGGTCTACAAAGTCTGTGTAGTTATATTCAGGGACATATTCTGATGTACTTATCTGTCAAGTGAGAGACCCTTAAGTTTATTATATTTTGTACCTATAATTTTGTTATTTGCTTAAAATATAGTTAAAGATCTGAAATTCTGAAGCTAACTAGTCTAGATCCAATTTTAAATTCACAAAAATTTAAGAATATTTTATAAAATATTCATCAAGATATAAAACATTTGTTCTCTTTAAAATTAAAGAAACAGAGAGCAAGTACAGGAGGTAGGGCACTTGCTACCCTACATCACTACAGATGATGTAAACTTGGTTCAAATTCCTGGCACCACATATGGTTCCCTGAACACTGCCAGTGGCCAGTTCTGAACACAGAGCCATAAATTGACTCTATACAACATTGGTTATGCACCTCCCAGCACCACAAAATTAAAGAAACTTGTAAGATATTTTGGACCTAAAGTCTAGGAATTTCTATACCAATTTGAAAGCATATGTTAAAATTAGAGAAATGTAAGCCTATTTTGATAACTTCAATACTTTTCTCTTTGTCCAAAAAATTATGGTGGTATATAAATTATACAAGATTAAAGTGAAATAAGATGATTATTCAAAATTACTTATTACTATCATTATCCATACTGTATCAAACATATGTTTTCTCTAAGAAACACTTACTGGAAAATGATAGGATTAAATGGTCTAACGCATTGACTAATTCAGTTCATCATTCTTAATTTCATCTCCAGATAAAAAAAATAACAATTTTTGTGATTTTTAGAAGACCTGAAACAATTATGGTTTTTATATTGAATAAGCATGTATTAGAATTAGGTTTTCTGTTCAACCAAGTCATTGTATTACAGTCCCCTTTCAATTCAGTAATCATTATTAAATTCCTTTAAGTAATAACTAAAACTGTATTGCCTTAAAAAGTACAAAAAATAGTTTATATTACATTAATGTCTGAGTCTTATACTATGAAAATAGTAATATTCATATGTATATACCTGCATGTGACTTTCCCTCACAAAATTTCTGAAATGAGTAAGTTAATTTAGCTTTCACCTTCTAGAGTTCAACTATAATACCTTCATCAAATACTTTTACTTTTAGGAGAATAGCCTATAGTAATTCAATAATCTGTATAAAATATTGTCTTTAATATAGTTTTTTGAGTCTATGTAGAAATAAATAAGATATTTTAGAAGCAAGTTAAAAGTCAAATGATGACTGGGTTGCAAAAATTATTAGTCTGTCATCATTTTTTCAATTACAAATTCCCCAGTACAAATGGATTGCAAAAGCATAGGATTTTGTAATGAAATTTTTATTTGCTGCACTGTGTTCCTCTAAGGAATTATCTTATTCTCTACATTAAGCAATAAGATATGAAGATATGAAACATAATTTGTCTTCTACCAACTAAGTACAGAGGGTCATGGGGAAAGAGCGGTATTAACACCATGAGGTGAAAAAGGACTAGTCTAAGGGTCAGATAGTATAAACCTTATCTTAAATCTACTTCTCTTTGTAAGATTGCCTTTGACCAGAAACCTCGTTTCTCAGAACCTCAGCATTCTCTACTAGAAAATGTGATAATGATGTCTAGTGTTCTTTCCTGATCTATCATTCTATGAATTGATGCTTTCAGATGAAGGAAACAAATAGCTCAGGTTGTTCCTCTATTCATGGATCTCTTTAGGCTCACTTTCTGTGAAATACTTCACTTCCTGTTCATTTAGCACATTAAGTTGAAGCTTTCCATCCTAAGAACTTTTTCTTAGATACTTAACCAGAACACTGCCTCCTACCAATTCACTTTTGTTCATTTCTATAGCTTCATAGACTTCTGACTTAGAACATGCAAACTTTCATGCCAAAGGAAGTCAGGAGATCACCTGTGATAACTCCATTAGTTCACCAAAAAGAAAATTGACCTTTAGGGATTAGGTTTCTTATCACTACTAAAGCAAAAGAATATTTCTAACATTTTATTCTTTCATTGGAATTTAATTTTTCTTGTCTATCATCTCTGTAAGAGGAATTGGGTCTTACAGGAAAGTAAAGCAACTTCCTTATTTTTTTTCCTTTTCTTTGAAAATTAGTAACCTAATAATAATGAAGTCAACTGGTATTGTTTTTAGAACATGTACTACTAACTAGTAGAAATAATGAGTAGCTGTAAATGTATTGAAAGTTAAGAAAAGTATATTGAGAAAAATTGACAGGAAGAGATTTGTGGTTTTCCCCCAGGAGCATTGTTTTTCTTAATTTTAGATATAACAAGTAATTATCTTCTGAAGTTTCTAACTTCTGAAAAGACAAAATATTCCAATAGCACTAGATTTCCCTAGGTTTTCTATTTGTCTCATTAATATGAGCCTTTGAAAAAGAAAAGTTAATGTTCAACTTGCAAGAACTTTCTAAACAGCTTTAATAAGTTTGCTTAATAAATTTTTCTGCTTTTGCAATGTTGGCTTAGGGTCACTGTAAATTTTGCCGATATAAACAGATATGCATATACTGTTTCTCACAGATCCTCTTCGAAAATGTTTAACTAAAAGAACTTAGTATAATAACTATTTTAAAAAAATTATGCTGCAAGTGTGCATCAAAGTTACAAAGATTCTCATGAATAAAACACTTGTGCTTATTTTTATACTATTTAATGAAAGGTCATAAACCCCTAGAAGTGCCCATATTTAATATAAAGAAATAACTCATGTTTGTTTGTTTTTCATAGGAAGTTGTCATTGAAGAAGGTACAATTGCCTTTCAAAATTGGGTCAAAACTGGCACAACAGTTTACAGACAGTTTTGGATCTTTGATGTGCAAAATCCAGAAGATGTGATAGCTAACAGCAGCCGCATTAAGGTTAAGCAAAGAGGACCTTATACTTACAAGTGAGTAATTTCCTTTAAATAAATATCCCTGTTTTGTAAGAACAGTATTTCTGAATACTGCTTGATATATGCCATTGAGTTGAAATGAACCTTATTCACTTGATAAATGCCATTGAGTTGAAATGAACTTTATTATTTTCTTTTCATTAATCTACAAAGCATTTGTTACACTTTCTAGAAGGGGTGGGAAAATAAATATTTTTAATTTATGACTAGATAGAAAACAAGAATTAATTATTATAAGAAATAAAGATTTAACATAAATTTGGCAGCATTTGATTACTGACCTACATTTAAGAATTTCAGATGTTTTGTGCTTGCAACATGTATTCTCACCAACTCTGAAATATGCATTCTGATTTTAAAGTAAAGCTATCAGACACTGAGGTGTTTAACAAAACCTAAACTAAACATGCATTTCTATCAGAGGTTCTCGAAGAGTGGTTCATAGGCCAGTAGCATTTGTATCACTTGGAATCTTGGTGAAAATACAAAATCTCAGACTCATTTTGGAACAAATGAATCAGGGACTTGGTTTGGATAATGGTGATGTGAGTGCTTTATAAACTTGGGTGATTCTGACATGCATACAATTTTAAGAAGCATGGTGTTAAATTAATTATACACCACAGCAGTCTTAACTAAGAATTTCTATTTATATAAAATTTTGTGTCATCTAGATTATATTTGGTAGTTTTTTAATATTTTTCTTAATACTAACTCTAAATATACTGAAATTTCATCGCGCTTTTTATAGTTTTGCACTTTAGAATAGACTCATCATATACAATTAGAACTAGAGTAAAAAAATGCAACAAAACTTTCCAATTTTTACTTTAAAAAAAGTTGATGTGTAATTTGTTCCCATTCACACATACCTGTAAAATGATTAACTCTGCATCTGCATAAAGTATTCCTTGAAACCAGCAGGTCATGTCCTTCTTCAAACAGGATGACATGCTTATTCAGCTACTAAAGATAGTTCACTATACTTTGACAAGATATGACATGGGTATGAGATTGCCAGTATCAAGATCCTGATTATATAAACTTTATCCTATACCAACCCTTTGAGGATTTTATAATCATGTCAGCATGTTCTCAGATTCAACATAAACCTTTTTTTTTTCTTTTTTGTCACTCTGCTTTAGCAGGAATGGAAAGAGAGAAATATTCAGTAAAATCCAAAGAAAAATTTCTTTTTTTCAACCTTATTAACTTAAACTTTCCAAAATCTCTAAATGCTCTTAATTTTAAAAGAGAAATAAAGTTGTTGTGTTCACCTATTCTAAACACGGGCTTCAGTTTTAAGGATTTTTCTCCTAGTAGTGCCATCTACTGGTATGACACTTTGAAAGCATTATTTAAGTAAACTAGAATTTGGATGATTATTATCTTATTATTTCAATAAATGATTGTACATATGCATATTATCCTAAAAATGTAGACGCCTTAATTTCAACATTTGTTATATCATCATCACTATCATCCTGTTGTTCATCAATTTGCTCGAGTGGGCACCAGTAATGTCTCCATTCATCCCTGTCACGTGCTAGTGGAGCCTGATGGCATATTTGGGGCTCTTTCAGGGTCAGGGGAATAAGGACCATCATTGCTACTGTTTTTGGCATATCAAGTACACCATGGGTAGCTTGCCAGGTTCTGCCGTGCAGGCAGGATACACCCTGTAGCTTGTTGGCCTCTCGAAGAGGGATGGAGGCTTTTGGGGCAGCCTCTAATCACCTTTACAGGTTTTCCCAGTCAGACATATATACGGGCAGGATACTCTCGGTAGCCTGCCGGGTTCTCTGAGAGCAAGAACTAGACAATAAGAAGTCATGGCTGAGAGCTTGGTTTTATAGTCTCTGAATCTTGGCTGTTGAAGAGGTTACACGGCAGTTGGTGGGTGTAACTGTCTAGCTACTGGAAGATGGGGGTTCTGGGTGGAAGAGGCCCAGTCCCAAACAGAGCAGGCTTGGAGATCTCAGCCCTGGGTCCCACACACCTAGCTTCCTCTTCCAGTTCCTTCATGCGTGAGGCTCGTCCTAGCATGTGGAGAGTGGTCTCAGCATGGCTGTGGCTGGGTCCTGGAGGTCTTCAGCTGCTGGGGTTCTGTTCGGGGAGGAAAAGGAAACTCAACCCGCTGCCCTCCAAGGGGCCCAGGTGCGGACAGCCAGGCACGGTGGCAGGAGACTCTGCATTGTTCTCTTCCAGGAGCTTGGTTTTATATTTGTTATGTAATCTAATTGAAAAATACAATTCTATGAAAGAGGACGGTAAATTATTACTTATAGTCTTTTAGTACTATTTCAGAATTTTACATATTCTCCAATTGCTACAAGAGTAGTGAAACTTTTGTAAACTTATGTAAAAATAAAACGTCACTTTAAATCATTATAAATTTTGAAAGAATATTAGCCATTTATTAATTTTTTCATTAAAAAATACTTATTAGACAATCACCATGAGCCAGACATCATCAGTAATTTATATATTTATTATAACTGAGATATTACATTTTGGTCCCATATATTTTTCTGTTTTTCCTATTTAATTCTCATGATAGATATTCAGATATATAAGAGTATAATGAGTAATTCACTTTCTTTATCACTGAGTACAAAAACTCAAGGTTTTCATTGGAAAAGTATTTTTCAGGATATTTTATGCACCCATGAATAGTTGAGATAAATGCCAGGAGTTTTACTCCATGGCTTGGAGGCCAGCCGCACACTCTAGGGGTAAAGGCAGTTCAGATAGAGAAGGGCGCACCAAATAAAGGGTGTGGGGAAGATCCGCCCAGGATGGGAGTTGCATGCTGAAAGTAGACTATAGACTGAACATAACTGCCACTCAATGTCTCTTTTGCAAACCACAGCACCCAAAAGGAGAGAGAGAACAAAAGGGAGTGCCCTGCCACAGAGGCAAGGTGGGATGGGGGGATGGCGGGGTGGGAGAGATACTGGGACTAGTGGTGGTGGAGAATGGGCACTGGTGGAGGGATGGGTACTCGATCGTTGTATAACTGAAACCCAAGCACAAAAATTTGTAACTCTACGACTGTACCTCATGGTGTTTCACTAATAAAACATTTTAAATGTAAATAAATAAATAAAAATTTAAAAAATACCAAAAAATATTGTCATGTAAATAAATGGCATTTGAATCCTAACATTCATATAAGACAAATATTTAGGGTTTAATTTCTTTCCATTTTTCAGAGTTCGCTATTTAGCCAAGCAGAATATAACCCATGACACTGAGCACCACAAAGTCTCCTTTGTACAACCTAATGGTGCCATCTTTGAACCATCACTATCAGTTGGAACAGAGAATGATACTTATACTGTTCTCAATCTGGCAGTTGGAGTGAGTAAACTACAATATTTGTTTTGAGATATTTTAGCACTCTTAATAAGTAAATTAATCATTAATAACTATTGATTTTTTAAATTTTGTCATTTTAATAATATGTGTTCCTTCCTAGGTCTTTAATTTTAAAAGAAGTTAGAGTGAATTCCAAGATGATAAAATCATAGAGCAATAGCAGAATGAGAACACCACTTAAAAACAGATCCTTTTTTGGGTGGGGTGGGCTAGAGAAGGTCACTCCCAGCTTTGCTCAGGGTTTACTCCTGGCTCTGCATGCAGAGGTCACTTCTGGTGGGGTTCTGGGTAACATATGGGATAACAAACCGGGTTTGCTGCGTGCAAGATAAGTGTCCAACCTGCTGTGCTATCACTCTGGCTCCAAAACACATCATTTTAAAAAATATACTGGAGTTGGAGACATGTGGGAATTTAGGTCATTCTCTGTCACCACATGGCTCCTGAGAACTGGTAGGTGAAGGCCTGAAGGATCCCAAACACTACCAGAATGATCCTGTTGTTCCCAGCAGCATGGAACCCAAATGGCACCACATTCCGGGGTCCTCGAGCTGAACCCCTGATCTGGAGTGGTCTCCAAGTGGGCAATTTCTTTAGTCTCCGTGAAATTATAGGACTTGTAAAATATTTGTCTCCAGAATAATCACATACTTTTCCACATACTTATAAAGTTGTTGGTACTTTATAACCTAGGGAAGTCAGAACTAGGAATTTAGAACTAAAAATACTTAATATATGAAGGGAATGGGGAGAAGAATTAGTCTTATTAGCTTAAACATGATCATTATATTTTTAATAATTACTAGATTAGAAAACATGGCTCACAAAAACAAGCAAAAGATATGATAGAAGTTATCTAGAGGTGCCTTTTACATGAGGCAATTATACATTAATTTCTGGCAAGTTTTGGCTGTAATTTAAAGGTACAGCTTTTTATGAAATATAATTTTAGTAATTCATAAAGCTGGAGCGATAGCACAGTGGTAGGGTGTTCGCCTTACAAGCGGCCAACATGGCCGATCCGAGTTCGATTCCTCCGCCCCTCTCGGAGAGCCCGGCAAGCTACCGAGAGTATTTGATATGCCAAACACAGTAACAACAAAGTCTCCAATGGAGACGTTACTGGGCCCGCTCGAGCAAATCGACGATCAACAGGAGGGCCTTTACCTTTACCTTATAATTTATTAAAAGTCAGATGCTCCAATTGGTGTCTTCAACATTACTCTCACTTTTTTTTCCTCTTTTTTTCTCTGTAGGTTGTACCTCATCTTTATCCAAATGCATTTGTTCAATCGGTACTCAATTCACTTATCAAAAAGTCAAAATCCGCTATGTTCCAAAGGAGATCTGTGAAAGAGCTGTTGTGGGGTTATAAGGATCCATTCCTCAGTTTGGTTCCGTACCCTGTTGATACCACAGTCGGACTGCTTTATCCTGTGAGTATCAAATAAAGTGTGATTTTGTTACATTTTACTTGAATATAGAAGCAGTGGTGATTCATAATTTCTTAATTTGCAGACTTTAATTTGTGTTGTTTTCACCTGATTACTCCTCCTTCCTAAATATCTGATAAACATGTTTGAATTTAAATTTTTTGTCTTAACCTAAACTTGGAGACAACTAGGTTGAAAGTAAAGTATGCCAAACTTTAATGGATTAAAAACTTATTCATATAGACAATTTCATATAACCTATTGAACAACTAAAACTTCTAATGATTCACATTTATTGAAATGGCAATTTGCTCTTGAGGAAAATGTGAACTTAGTGGTGTACTTACAATTTAGAAGCTTTCCTGTTTGTTTTGTTATGTGGATTTTTGGTTTTTGGTTTTGTGACCATATCCTGGCTTACCTTAATTCCAATTTTGCACTCAGATATCTTACCTGACAAGACCTGGGAGTCTGTTGGGAATGCCAGGAATACCCACTAGGGTAGGCTGCATGCAAGACAAGAGAAGTCATTGTTGTACTATAGCTCTGGACCCTACAGCTTAGAAGTTGAAAAATGCATTGGAATTTGTATATTACATTTAGCTATACACTTCAGTTTCTTATTTTACTTTTAGACAGTTTATAATATTGTTATAAGTTTATATATGTAGAATGTCAAATTGCATGTAGAAATCCTTAATGGAACAGAGATTCAGTTATTTTTAGTTTAAAGATCCATACTTTTACCTTAGCTAATTATTTAAGTTTTGTTTGCCTAATTTTTAGTAGCCAATTATTGATTATAATATTTAGGGTTCCTTTAGAAAACTCATTTCTCTCTCCTTTTGTTCAAAACCCCCTCATGTGAATTCAAAAGTAATAGTGATTAAAATTGCCGTATTCACTTAACTGAAACAAAGGAAACCGGAGTTTGAACCATATCACTATTTGCTATTTATTTTATTTATTTGTTTGAATATAATACTTATTTCTAGGTACCCTTGATAATCAATCCTTTAAAAATGCTTAATATCAGTGAGATGAAACCTTACCATGAACATATATATATACATATATATGCACATATATACGTTTCAAATAATTTTAAATAATGATGAATAATCATTGTGAGAAATGTAAGAGTAAATGAATTTTTATTTTATTTTTAGAAGTAACTCTATGTGGGTTATTTTTTCAGTACAATAATACAGTAGATGGAGTTTATAAAGTGTTCAGTGGAAAAGATGACGTCAGCAAAGTTGGTATAATTGACACATATAAGGACAAAAAGTAAGTATCAAGGTAGTGTAAGTGTGATACTTGACTTCTCTAAGGTAGGGAAGGCATTTTTTAGACAACTAGAAGGGCCCAACTATGAAAAAGACTTACTTGCATCTCACTCTGAACAGACTTCTGCCATGTAACCTTTACTTCTACCAAATATACAGCACAGAGCTGTTCAGCGTCTGACATGGGGTTTAGTTTACTTTTATGTGCTGACTCTTAAATATAAAATAAATACAAAGGTGCTATTCTCTTCTTTGTTGCATAACTACCATTACAATCCTCCTATAAAATTGGATAATCACAGGTGTAAAGGGAGAAGACTAATACAAAACCAATTGTCTACAGATATTTACTATTGTTTCACTTTTAAAATCGAGCTTATAAAATTTTAAAAAATGGTGTTTGTACCAGTAGTAGCATATCTTATGTGTCTATAAAGATAAATGAATACATGCAAACATTTCATGATTCTCCAGTATTAGAAAAAAACTATCCTGAACAAATGATACATATTGAAAAGTCAAGTTTTTAAGCCTTTATTAAGTAAAATTAGTAATTCAAGTACAGGTCTAAAATTTACAACAAAACTTGAAAATAGACTACCTCTTTCATAAGGGTAGTAAATGAGGTAATGTCCAGAGTCATTGTTTCCTTTCTTTTCCTGCTTTCTACATATCTGGAATATATATATACTTTACCATATGTGTAAAAAAAAGGAAGAAGGTCCATAAATACCAAGGAAAAGAACATTCTTTTCCTCAAAGTTTATAAATGCATGTTAAAGCTGTTATTTCCTGAAACAAAAGGAAGGAATTAAAACTGAAAGAGATTAAATGTTTTTAAGAAGTCCATGTCTAGCTTCACAAAGTTAAGTATTCATTAGAATAGCACTTTATCTTCTATAGAATACAAAGGAACAGTTTTTCCTAGAAAAGACTAGTGGAGAAAGAAAACACTTCTAACTGTTCATTTCATGGGAAATCACCTATTTATATATTGAGGAATATCAACATTTCCTCCGTTATGGTAAGGCTTCAGGAGAGATGTTAACACTACAAATTGGAGTAATAATTTTACATAAATTTAAGATAATGCTATCTTAATTAATCATAGAATGCTCAAACATATCATGAATAACTTACTGTGTTTAAAGAAAATGGTTTACACTGACATTCCACTGAATGACATGTCAACAGTGGGAAGAAGGGAGTTTTTATTTCACCAAAATGTAGCAATATACAATTATTCTTGTTTGTATTGTTCCCAAATATATTTATTTCAATATTGGAGTATAAGTTAAAAGGTCTTAAATCTAATTCCCGCTTATGCAAAAGTTGATAGAGAAGAAAGTATACATTATCTACATTTTTTTCCTCTGTTGCTCAGGCACGGTAAACATTCTTTTGTTTCCCCATACTCCCTTTTGCTGAGCTTACATTTTTGCCCATTTAATATTTTCATTCCATTAAGTTTGAACACTTAACAGACTATTTTTGCCCATTTAATATTTTCATTCCATTAAGTTTGAACACTTAACAGATTACCATATTATTAATTTTTCTCATTAAAGAAATTCTACCAACATTAGGCATCTAAATATTTCTAATAAATGTTTCTCAATTCTTTTTTATTCAGAACAACGTTGGGTCTAATTCATTTACAAGATTTTCCAGTTTTTAACTTTCCTGGTTGCTTAATGGTAGCAGGCTCTTAATTTATCTCAACAAGATGAAAGTTCAAGTAAAATTATCAATGTTCTATGATATAGAACATTAGTTTAATATTTTTCCCATCTAACCTTTATTATTTTAATACTTGTATTATCAAAGTAATAGGAAATTATTTTTAATAAGAATGCTTGTTCATTCATTTTTCTTTTTGTCCCTAAGGAATCTTACTATTTGGGAAAGTTATTGTGACATGATTAATGGTACAGGTAAGAGCATTTGTTTTGTAGTGATAATCACACTGAACTTATTCCCATATCTCCCACAAATCTGTTGTCATACACAGAATGTTCTGAAAATAGAAAGTGTGCATTAACAATCTTTATATGCAGAAGCATAATGTATAATTTTCATTCTTGCATAGGCTTAGACAATTATGTAATGTGATGGGATTTCTGAAGATCAGTCACCAAGGATTAGCTTTTATATCATTACTAAAAAATTTTTAAAATGTTGGGGCTGGAGCGATAGCACAGCAGGTAGGACTTTTGCCTCACATGTGGCCGATCCGGGTTCGATTCCCAGCATCCCATGTGGTCCCCAGAGCACCACCAGGAATAATTCCTCAGTGCAGAGCCAGGAGTAACCCCTGTGCATCGCAGGGTGTGACCCCCTCCCCCCAAAAAATGTTTTCTTTGTAAAACTTTACCTGATCAACTGAAAACCAAACCACTTGTTCTATTCTAACAATAGAACAAGATTTAAAAACTTGGAGAGTAGTTACTAGTCATGTCTTTATAAGATATTATACATTGTGTCACAAAGATAGTGCGGAATCTAAGACACTTCTCTTAAATGATTCCTACCAACCATGGTTCTAATCTCTGTCACCACGTATGTTGCCCTGAGCACCTCCAAGGTACACTCCTGAACACAGATCCAGGAGTAACTCTTGAGCATTTCCTGGTATGCCCCCAAATGAAAAATAAAATAAAACAAAATACTGTACATGGCTGGAGAGATAACTGAACAGCTAAGAGAATGCTTTGAATGTACAAAATCTGAGTTTTATCCCTAGCACAATATGGTCCCCCAAGCACTTTTGGGACCAACCCTTGGTAGTGAGCTGAGAGCTGAAACAATAATACAGTGAGTAGGTTGTTTATCTTGCATGCGACCAACTGAATTTGATCCTGGGCACCTCTTATGGTCCTTCAACCCCACCAAGAGTGATCCCTGAACACAGAATCAGGAGTAAACCCCAAGCACTGCTAGGTATAGGCTACCCAAAAAAAATGGGTTCTAGTCCCATTCCTTGAGTCATCTGTCCAGTCTCAGATAATAATTTTTGCATATTTTTCAATGTATATTTTTTAATCTAGATACTGTAATTTATGCAGTTGTTTGCAAAAGATTTTCAGACATACAATTTTCTAACTCCAATCCCAATTCATTGTGGACCCCATATTCTTTCCCAGTCCCAAACCTGGATCCTTAAAACACACATTTTTAAGTTTAATTGTTGTTAAATATTAGGTCTAGTGATTTAGGTATATACAGATCTTTGCCTTTACATATAGAGAGGTCCAAGGCTACTAACCCTTGCCCCTATGTGACTTTATTGTCTTCTTGCTTACCCATCTCATTTCTCTCCTTCCTTATATATTTTTTTTCTGTACTTTCAAATCAGAGATTTTTCCCAACTTTTCTGTGTATTATTTTTCTATAGTGGCTAAGGTATTTAAGAAGATAGTGAATCCCAGTTCAAATAAACTATATTGGTAGATTAAGGTAAACTTAAATATTCGTCTCACTCAGTGGCATGGACAATTGCTCTATAGCCTTTTGTTTAATTTCACTGTCAAAGGTGTAACATACAAAATCAGAAGGTTAAAAAGAAAAAGAGCCAAATAAGTACACGTATTCCATGGTGGCTTGTGACTGATGATGTTTGTTTTAGAAGCAAAGGGGGAGTTATCTAGTTATTTCTTTATATCTAGTGTGTGTAACAACCATAATAGAAATTTAATAGCTTCAACAAATGTTTATTTCAGTAGAATTGATGTGTTTTAAGCACAATAACTTCTGTTTAGCAAATTTTAATGAATTATTTTAAAAAATCACCAGACTGAAAATCATTAGGATCAATGAATCACTGTCAAAAGTAACAATGCAGCCAAAGAGATCAAAATGAAATTGATAATAATTATTATTCTCTTGATGGGCTGGGATTTTTTTCTAAAAGCCACAAATATAATTTTAACAACATGTGATTCTACTGTATATTATTTTTTCTACTTTCATTAATTTTTGAAGAATGGGACGATTTAACATGGACTTAATGTCAATGAATATATAATTAACATTCAATGATATACAGATTTGTTGAAAATTATAGCTATAAATTATTTGCCACTTTAAAATACTTAAAGGGTGACCAGTACAAATTAAAATATAAATGCTTAGTTTTATGTTAACTACATGTTAAGTATTTTGGAAAATTTAACAAAACATCCATTAAAAAAAATTTGGCTGCAGGCAGCCTGATGGAGTGGGTAAGGTGACTGCCTTGCATGCAGTTGACCTGGATTCAATCTTCTGTGTCCTATATGGTCCCCCAAACACCACCAGGAGGGATTCCTAGAGTGCAGAGCCAGGAGTGACCCCTGAGCATTGCTGGAGTTACCCAAAACCAGACAAACAACAACAAAATGGCCTCTGGACTGAAGAACAGTGCAGAGATTCAAGCATTTACCTTGTTCATAGATAACCCCATTTTTTTTTTGGAAGGGGGATTCACATAGCTCAGGGCTTACTTAGGGGTCACTTCCAATGGTGTTCAGGGAACCATATGCGGTGGTGGCAGGATCAAACCAGGTTGGCCACACAAGGGCCTCTCTCTGCTCTATCTCTCAGGCCCAATCCAATATATAGCACCGCATGACAACTCCACCAGAATCCCCAGGTATATGGCTCAACCACCATCAAATATTATCTCTAAATACATATTCATACACAGATACAAACACACACATATGTATATATGTGGCTGCCAAGAATTTAAAAGTTATATCCCATTTGAATTATGTTTTTATTGACCATGATAAAATAGAAAGTTCCAGATTTTAACATGCTTTACATCTTTTCTTACTGACTTGATTTTTAAACAGATGCAGCCTCATTTCCACCTTTTGTTGAACCCGATCGAGTATTGCAATTCTTTTCTTCTGACATTTGCAGGTAAGACAAAGACATATGTATTTACGTGAGTCAAATTTCTTTTCTCCAAATGATAAACTGTAGTTCAAAACTTTTATACTTAGGGAACCGGGAAAATAGCACAGTAGACAGGGCACTTGCCTTGAACGTAGTTAATGAGACTTGATCCTCTGACCCCATATCGTCCACCAAGCACCTCCAGGAGTGATCTCTGAGTAAAGATAGAGCCAGGAGCAATCCGTGATCACTGTCACGTGTGGTGCCGGCCCTACAAAGTTATACTTAGTAATCATGTTATTTTCCAAAACACACACACACACACACACACACACACACACACACACGTGCTTAGGGATTTTTTTATTTATAAAGAACAAGCTGGTATGATAGCACAGCAGTAGGGCATTTGCCTTGTGCCCAGCCAGCCTGGTCAAGCGGGTTCGATTCCTCCTCCCCTCTCGGAGAGCCTCCAAGCTACTGAGAGTATTCAATATGCCAAACACAGTAATAAGAAGTCTCACAATGTAGACATTACTGGGCCCGCTCCAGCAAATCTATGAACAACGGGAGGACAGTGACAAAGAACAAGCACAATAGAAAGTTAATACATTTGTTAACTAAGAGTTTGAAGGGTGTGAGTGATTTTAAATGATGTAAAGCTTTTCTTTTTAATTTCTAATAATTTTTCTTTTATTTTTACTAACCTAACTGAATATTTAATAGCAAACACTTCTAGAATGACATGACCAATCCTTCTAATTATGTTTAGAGAAGATGATGCAGCTGTCACAGAACTTTGTAAATGAATGGAATGTGCTCTGCTGCCATAGTGACCTCTTTACAGGTTGATGGGGCCCAGATATGTCACACAACCATTGAGGTCACAATAGCAAAACTTTTGTTTCTGAAAGACTTGTGGTTGTAGGAAAGGACTTAATATTTCTGAGTCATCTAATGTGAAGATTGAAAAGAGGTGTTGTTCAAGGCTGAAGGGATAGTATAGCAGTTAGGGTGTTTGCTTTGCATGAGGCCCACCCAAATTCATACCCAGCACTCCATAATGGTCTCCTAAGCACCACTAGGGTTGATCCCTGGGTGCAGAACCAGGAACAAACCCTGTACACTGCAGAGTGTGACTCTAAACCAAACCAAACCAAACCAAAGCACCGACAACAAAATGGAAAAGAGGTTGTATTTCTTTACAGAGAGCTATTTGCAAATTGAAAGAAATATATATATTGAACCCCAGCAGATTGTCTGGGGTATGATATACTGTAAATGATGGAGGTATGGGCTGGAGCGATAGCACAGCGGGTAGGGCATTTGCCTTGCAAGCGGCCAACATGGCTAATCTGAGTTCGAGTCCTCCGCCCCTCTTGGAGAGCCTGGCAAGCTACAGAGAGTATCTCGCCCTCATGGCAAAGCCTGGAAAGCTATCCATGATATATTTAATATGCAAAACATAGTAACAATTGTCACAATGGAGACATTATTGGGCCTGCTCGAGCAAATCGATGAACAATGGGAGGACAGTGACAGTGATGGAGGTCTATTATTTACATATACATATATATATACATATATATACATATATATATACACATACATGAAAAACTCAATTTATACATCCTAGCAAAGGAATAGACTTTCCAGAATTTTTTTAAAAAAAAACAAAAACTACTTTTATGTAAACTGGGCACAAACAAAGCAGTTGAGAGATCTAGATATTTGATCTATAAAAAAAAAATTAGAGGATAACTGTCTTGAGTATATACAAGCTATAGTAATTTATAAGCAAAAGGTGTTTTGTTAAATTTTTGAGAAAAAATAAAAAATAATTTGTCTTTAACTTTGAGTTATATTATGGCTTAAAATTTTACAAAAAAGGTTAAGAAAAATTTGAAAAGAACTTAAAATTCTAAAAAAAAATACCCTATTTGAAATATTTTTTAATATATCTTGATGATTGAGTACTTGCCTTACAATGTGAAGCTCTGGGTTTAAAATTTGGCAGCTTAAAAAATATATCAATATTTCTTATGTTCATGCAAAACTGTTAATCTGAAAATAAGAAAAAAATATCATCTCCAACACATAAGTGATGTTCCTGGAATGAAACTTTCTTGTCTTTGTTTAGGTCAATATATGCTATATTTAAAGAAAAGATTGATCTGAAAGGAATCGAAGTGTTCAGATATGTCCTTCCTGCCAAGGCCTTTGCATCCCCAGCTGAAAATCCAGAAAACATTTGCTTCTGCACAGAAAAAGTAATCTCAAATAATTGCACAGCTTCTGGTGTTCTTGACATTAGCAAATGCAAAGACGGTGAGAACACATTCTCAATATTAGCTCTTGATATAATTTGCAGTAGTATTTGAAGGATAATTATTATATAGGGTTTCTTTCTACAAAAAATAAAGAAAGAAATATTGGCAGACTGTAAGAGTGGTGAAAGAATTTTTTTGTTTTGATATTTTATTGTTTTTGAGATACCAATTATGCTTCAGTTTTGAAAAAATGTAATGAGTATAATGAGTAGTAGAAACTAATGCTAATTTGGAAAATACTGTTTTTGGTCTCACCCATCTTTAAATATTTTAAATGAATAATTTCCTTGTACAATTATGTTATTAGCTTCTTATTGGATATGTGAGTTGCAAATATTTTCTCCAATCCTACAAGAAGGTTTTTTTTATTTTGTTGGTTTTCTTTAGTGTTTAGAATCCTTATATGATTCTTTTTAAGTTTTGGATAATATAGGGGAAAAAAATAAATCTTCCCAGAATACTTTGAGCATTTCAACTTATATAGCTGCCATTTTTCTACTTATTGCAAATATATGAACGTATATATGTATAGATATATGTATGTATATTCAATATTTTTCTAAAACAAAAGTTGACACACAAATTTGGAGTTTGTCCTACTTTGTTCACTTTTTTCGTACTGTTGCAGTTGTGGATGACAAAAAGAAAACCTCTCACAGAAATTCTTTCTTAGTTCAAAAATGTAGCATATGCTGGAAACATACAGTTGAAACTTTTGTGTCCAGGAATTAAACTTTTTCTATTGAACATTTTTAATATCTATGGAATGCATAGTAAATATCAATTGAATTATTAGTAAGATATTTCAGAATTACATACTTTTTACATGGGTGATCAGATATGTCTTCTCTTTTCTTCCCCTGTGTTCAAGCCTGATTTTATTTTTATTTAATTTTAATATTTTATTTTCAAGAAAATCTTTTTAATAAGTGATATGTGAAAAAAGGATATTTGTCCCAATTTTTTTTACTAAAATTTATTTTCAGGAAAGCCTGTGTACATTTCACTTCCTCATTTTCTATATGGAAGTCCTGATGTTTCATCAAATGTTGAAGGTTTAAATCCCCATGAAGAAGAACACAGAACATTCTTAGATATTGAACCTGTAAGTAAATTTATTACTAATATTATTTAATATTACTTTTAAAAAATAAAATTTGGGACTAGAGCAATAGTAGGGTGTTTGCCTTGCACCAGCCAACTGGGATTCGATCTCCGGGATCTCCAGCATCTCCGACATCCCATATGGTCCCTCAAGCACCAACAGGAGTGATTCCTGAGTGCAGAGCCAGAAGAAACTCTTGAGATAGCCAGGTGTGACCCAAAAAGGCAAATTAATTAATTAATTAATTAATTAATAACACTGTAGCATTGTCCTCCCGTTGTTCATTGGCCCAGTAACGTCTCCATTGTGACATTTGTTGTTACTGTTTTTGGCATATCAGATACATCAAGGGTAGCTTGCCAGGCTTTGCCATGCGGATGAGATACTCTCGGTAGCTTGCCGGGCTCTCCAAGAGGGGCAGAGGAATTACACCTGGGTCGGCCGAGTTGGCCGGGTAAATTCCTCTCCTATAGATGGTATTCATTGTATCATAAAGTTGACAGTTTTTTTTATTGAAAATTACTTTGATTTCTTTCTATCAACTGCTTGTTGAACATCAAAATAACTCCATTTTACTCAGTCATAAAAATGTATGACATTTTTAATAATTCATACTTTATAAGTGCCAATGACAGGAATTATTTTAAATAGCTTAAACAACTTGATAGGGTGTGGAAGGATTTATTGTTTTAATTACCTGAATATTATCCTTTTCAAAAGTTGAATGCCAGAATTTCACTATTATGTTTCAGTTTACATCAAGATTGACATGGAATTACAAACTTATGATATATAAATTCTCACTAAATATATATTAGGCCAGGCATAACTGTATTTCATTAATGCTGTTGATGATTTGCTAAAAAGCATTTGATGTAAATATTACAGATCTAAGACGCTAATATTTAGTTTAGTAGAAAGATATTCTGGGGTATGTTTCTATATACATGCATGTGTACAAATGTTAACCTAAAAATCACTTTAAGTTTAATGTGGCAGAAAAAAGGAAGTTTTGTATATTCTGAAGATTTTGTTTTATTCTGCTAAATATGTTTGTTCCCTTTTTAGACAACTGGATTCACTTTACAGTTTGCGAAAAGACTGCAGATCAACTTACTGGTCAAACCAGCAAAAAAAATTGAGTGAGTCTCTTGAATAAGTTTATTGTTACACGATTTTTAGTATAGTCTTATAAGAAGAACACAATGAAAGCAGAAAAAATAAAATTTTAAATTTATTTTGACTTAATTTTATTAAATAAGTACTATAAAATGTTTATGTTAGGTTTCATCTGTATTTTATAATATCTAGTATTTACTTATATGATGTTTATACTATTCAGTAATATTTTTGAGTGTTTGGTATCAATTTCATTTTTTCCAGCTGCCCAAATATTTCTATGCAGTAGCTTGTAAAATTCATGGTTCACTCTCCTGAGCAAAATTTATTGAAATAAAAAACATGTGCTTATAAAACAAATCAATCAAACCAAAAATCTGTTTTAGGAATCTGTTTTAGAAAGATTTCTGAGAGCAAAAGATGTCTGAGAAACAGACATATTAAAATTTAAACAATTAACTAATAGGGAACAAATATCAAGGAACTTAACTAAATTTTTCAAGAGTGTATTCTAGGGGCCAAAGCAATAGCATAGAGGGTAGGGTATCTATCTGCCTTGCATGCAGCTGACCTGGGTTCAATCCCTGATATCTCCTATTGTCTCCTGAGCACCGCCAGGAGTAATTCCTGAGCGCAGAGCCATGAATAACCCCTGAGCAACGCTGTGACCAAAAAAAAAAAAAAAGAGTATATTCTAGTAATTATTGAATTGTTAATAGATATATATTAAATGCTGTACATAAATATTTTATTAGTAAATATTCTTGATTCATTTTCAATATATATTACAGCGCATTAAAGCATCTGAAGCATCATTACTATGTGCCTATTGTCTGGCTTAATGAGGTAAATTTTTATCTTTCTATTAATTGCAGTAAGTCTCTTTATATATGTATATTGTTTTACAATTTAGCATGTAGATATATAATTTGAATTTGTATATTTTGAATGCCCAATTAATTATTATTATAATTAATAATGCATTATTAATTATATTATTATTTTATAATGAGAGAACCAAATTGCACAATAATAAGTTTTTGCAACTTTTCATTTTTTTCTTTTAAGAAGACAAAGCAGTCTCTGTCATTTTTGGTTATTTTCAGAATGCATTCTTCACAAACTTGCTTTTTTTATAGTCATGCATAGATATAATTGTAAATATCTCAAGACATATTAAATGTTTAGCATTAAAAAAAGCCATTTACCCTTTCAAAGACCAGAGCAAAGTAAAGCAGACTAGGTATAACTATGTAATTTTATTTCCTACTTAAAGATTTTATTAATATAAACCACAGAATAAATGATAGACTTATAAGTGTACTGTATATGTTATCATTGGGAGTGAAACCATCAAACCTTGTTATTTTCTCTGACAATGAGAAACATCTTTTTAAAAAACTGTGAAACATTTCAGAAAGATTTTTCTGAAGATCAAATGATACTTAGAATTTGGAAAGTGGTATATAATATTTTTAATATTATAGAATTACATTGCACTCTTTAAATATTATGTCTTGACATTTATTCTCTTCTTTGACAAACAAAAGGATTCCATTGACTTTTCTCAGACAGATAACTTACAGAAGTAACTCATATCCAGGTGTTTAAAGCAATAGGCGACACATAGGGAAATATTTTGAGTATTTTTGCTTCTCTGATCTACTTATAAAGTTTTCCCAAATAATTATAATAATTAACTTTATTACAGACTGGTACTATTGGTGATGAGAAGGCAGAAATGTTCAGAGATAAAGTGACTGGAAAAATTAAGCTCCTTGGCCTGGTAGAAATGATACTACTGAGTGTTGGTGTGATAATGTTTGTAGCTTTTATGATTTCATACTGTGCATGCAAATCAAAGGCAGTAAAATGAGTAAGTATGTTACAAACTTATAAAGTATTTCTGTATATTATATTTAATTTTATCAAAGACCATTTATACATTATAGTCAAATATTGCTATACATTCTAGCTCTTATCTAATATATTTTCAATTCTGAGATTGATGATTTGAAGTTGAAAGCAAAGACTAAGTAAAAACTGCTTAGTCATATGATAATATCTTTATGTAATATCTTTAATTCTGGGAAGGATAGGATAAAAGATGAAATTAACAACTTTGAAGTTATTACAAATACAGGTTTGTACAAATTCTGACCTTCAATTTAACTCTAGTTAATTATTGGGAAAAAAATTTAATATTCACAGATTTTAGAATGTTATGCAAAGTTGGTAGCAGTTACTTAGAGAGATATAATTTTATGATGGAAAGAAAATGAAGGGAGAAATTAATAAGTTAGAAATTAATAAAATTAAAAACTCAAATTAAGATCAGATATCTACTTAAACATAAAAATAGAAGTCTAAAATTGAGTAAAATTAAATTTGAGCGCCAGAGAAATTCTGCAGGGGTTGCAGGCATCTGACCCTGGTACAATTCCTGGCATGGTCCCCTAGTAGCTGCAAAAAGTGTTCTGTCCCCCAGTATAAAACTGGAGTAGGGGCCAGAAAGATAGTACAGCGGGTTTGGTTAGGTTTTTGCCTTGCACAGTATGGACCTGATTTATATCCCTAGCATCCCATATCCTGAGCATCGCCAGGAGTAATTCCAGAGTGCAGAGCCAGGAATAACCCCAAGAGTTGCTGGTTGTAATTAAAAGCCACCAACCTCCCCACTCCCCACCAAAAAAAAAAACTGGAAGTAGTTCCTGAGCACCAATTGGTGTGGCCCAATCACCCAATTTAAATTTTAATGATTTAAACTAAATCATTCAGTGTTTAGGGGAGAATCAGGGAATTATGGACAATATTTGAGTCTTGGCAAAGTCTTAAAGTAGTCTTAAAATCCAATTTCATTTTGGATTTTAGTGCTCACGTTCCCTTAGTTTTAAACAAAAAATTATTACTTTATCCTATTTTTCCTCCTTTTCTTTAATAAGCTTGGGTCTCACTATCATTTTCTATGGGTAGAGAATTTTCTACTTCCTTATCATTTTCTTCAATCCATAAATCCTTTTCCAGTCAAACACAAAGAAAGTACAATATAATCAAGAGCACTACTTTTGTTACTCAGTCCACTAATTTCTAAGGATTTACCCAGACATCTTTTTCTTTCATTTCTTCTCTGTAAAAATGATTGAGGTCTCAGGAAGATTGTAGAGCATCTTTCTGATAAAGCACTTGCCTTGCATGTGGCCAAACTGAGTTCTATCCCTGGAACCCCAAATGGTCGCGGTAGCCTGTCAGGAGTGATACCTGAGTGAAGTCAGGACTGGGGGTGGCCCCAAAACCAGAGGGAAGGAGAAAGGATTGAATAATTCTGCCTATAATATTTTTGAACAGAACATATGGAAAATGCTAATATATGTAATTATAATAAAGTAAACATTATATCTCCTTTAAAATTTGTCATTTTTCAGGCTGGAGAGATAGCACAGCGGGTAGGGCATTTGCCTTGCACGTGGCCAACCCGGGTTCCATTCCCAGCATCCCCATTGGTCCCCTGAGCACCGCCAGGAGTAATTCCTGAGTGCAGAGCCAGAAGTAACCCCTGTGCATTGCCAGGTGTGACCCAAAAAGCAAAAAAAAAAAAATGTCATTTTTTTCAGTAACAAATAAATTGTGATTATTCAAAGGTATTCATATGGCCAATTGTACATTATACAATTAATATCAAAGATCGTAATTAATAAAGTACAACAGAACTGTTTAACATGGAGGTTTATTTTTTAAAAAAATAAAGCATAACATCTATAAAAACTTTTCTGTAAATATTTTTGAAGTTAGATGACAAACTTTATTTCTATTTAGAAAGCCATATTTGGTAAATTTGTTAAATTGGGTGAAGCACTATAAGTTTTTCAAAATGTTTTTGTGTATAGATAGATACACATATGTGTGTAGTAAGTATGCAATATATAACATATATATTAGCAATATATAACATATATATTAACTTTCCTTAATGATTTTATTTATAAGAAAAAATTACTGGTATTTAACCAACTTTTCTATCTTTACAAATAGAAAATATGTCTATATACATAAATTTATATTTGGCTGAAAAGATTTGGAAAGAAAAATACCTCCTTAAACATGCTTACAATTTGAATATTATAAGAAGGATGCCTTTAGAAAGATTTCAACAAATTAAAAAACACTGAGATACAAAGTGATCAAAGTGTACAAAGAGAACTAAGTGTAAAACAGCAAAACTAAGGTGTGATTTTACTTTGGCTTGCAAAAAGAATAACCAATCACCATTTACTAATTAAAGATGATTTCAAGAGACAGAGTTTGGAAATGCCTTCCAGAGTAATTTTATTTAGTTATCACTTGTTATCTAGCTATGTGTAATTCTTAGGACTTGAAAAACTGCTATCGATGTACCTTTTTTAACTGAAAACTCAATAGCTTACCCATTAGTACATAAGAAAATATTTCTCTGCCACCTGAAAGATTGGGCTAAATAACAAAAATGCAGCATCAAGGTATATAGAATTTAAATAATAACTGTTTTGGTTTACTATTGCTTTGTTATATTTAGTAACTTTTTTTTTTCTAGGAAGAAAATAAGTCAACTCTTCTGTGCAATTACTTCAATACTTTTGTTAATATTGACCTTTAAGTGAAGATTTCATATACTTTCTTCTTCCAAAAAACATCATCTTTTAGTTGAAACATGATGACACTTTTTATGTACTACCCTGAAGCAGTTCACTTCTAAAAGATTAAGATGCTATTTAAAATCACATTTTTAAGAAAAGAAAGAACCTTCTAAATTTCATCACACAGTTGACTTATCGTTTTGTTTTTATAGACCTGGCTCAGGCAATAACCCGTTATTTTCATTTGGTATTGAATGACAAGGTGTCTAGTGGTAAATTCTAGATTCAGAACCTTCGTCTTCCTGATCAAGAGACACTTCACCCTTAGCTCCTTAGCATTTTCACCCTTAGTGGTGTCCTTGTTCAGTTGCAACAGAAAGACTCGACGTTTTCAGATCGCATTTTCAGTAGCTACTCACCATCTATTTCTGAAAAACTTTTAATAATGGAAAATAAACGACCAACAATGAGCCATTTCTTGATATTACTTAAGTTTCTTTCTCTATGAAATCCTTTGTCCAGCAAGACCAAGCATTATAACCAATTTCTTTATAAGAATACGGACTTACATTTTTGTCACTGATTGTGTAAGTGGATATATTTACCATCTTTGGGCTCTTCTTGTTTATAGACTGTCACTTTCTCCATTCAGTCACTTTTCTGGAAATCTAAGTAGATTTAACCTATCTATATTGTTACAACTTTTACTTAACAGCTTCAGAATGCTGTGATAGTATTAAGAGATGTAAATAATAATAAAGGATTACTTTATGAAAGTTAAAAAGAGTAGTAGAATGTGCACTAATCATACTTTTGTAATATCCCTTGCTTCTACCATTTTTAAAACCTGAGAAGGACTGGATTGAACCATTAAGTAGTTCTTTCTTAAACTCTTGAACTTTGCCTGGTTCCTTGTTAATTAAGTCACAAAATGTTCACCTAAATTTTCTGTGTGTAGTACTCTGAGTCCATATTTCTTTATGAATTCAAATTTCCTTCTAAAATATTATTAAAAAATTCAATCTTCACCAGTTTTGCCTAGGCTAATTTTTGAAGACATTTGCAAGAAAATTAAAACAAAGCAAAATAAAACAAAACAAAACCCTCTATGTGGCTTTATCATTTGCTGCATGAGGACTTAACTTTTAGACTAACCATGAGAGAATTTTCCATTTTATTAGGGAATATAGTGTTAAGTAATCTTAGTTTCTTCAGCAAGCTTCTATTTATTAAAAAGTTCATTCATTTTGTCCAATATCTCTTGGTGGAAAGAAAAGATGGACCTCATTCTATCTTCTCTTTTACACATATATGTCTGTAGGACAAAATATTAGCACATGGTTTATTGGCATGTTAAAATTAAGGAACTCTTGAACTCCTCATGTTAGCTGCCAAAGTAATATTGAAACCCTAAAGTCATCACCTTTTAAAGAAATCATTTGAAAATCTGAAGATACTCAAAGTATATCTATTTTAATTTAATTACAGAAAAATGTATCCCTCTAAGACATAGACACAATATAAGATTCTAGGTATTCTATTCTGATAATTAAAAGTCTACTCTCTTTGCATTAGCGTATTTTATACATGTTTTAAGAGATATATGAAAGAAATTTAATTCTTGAGCTAAATAAATATGAACTATATTAGTAGAAACTTAAGGTCTATATACCCGCTCAGTGATTCATATTTTTAAATAACTATACATAAATGCATATTATAGTATTTAAGTACCAGGAATAAATATTTTGACCTGGTCTTTAGTGTTGTTGAATTAAACTCATGTATATGCTAATCTATCATTCCTCGATGTTTCTTTTGCTATAGTCTATAAATTTGCACAAGAGAGAAGACAATCACAAGATAGATTATATTTTCAAATACCCAATGAAAAAAATAATACTTCTTCTTGAAAGGATGGGAGATAGATGTTTTAATATGGAAAATGGGTTTAGATTTCTGTAAGTGTGCAAACAACAGTCTATCCACATAAGAGTGGGACAGGCTGAGAATGTAGTACATGACTTATTTTGCACTGAGGCAAGTATATGGTGTTCAGAGAATTAAATGTTTGAATTTTTTTCTTTGTAAAAGAGATGACTTTGTATGCTGTATTCGATACATCAGTGGCACTATTCAGCAGAAGAACACATTTTCATACAAATTATAATTACCTACTACAAGGACTCTGGTTATTTTTCATAAATTCGGTTTGAAAATTTATAGTATCTTCAAAGAGAGTCTACAATATCTGAAACTGAGGTCATGCTTACTTATTGATGCTGACACATGCATAGAAATGGAGTGATCTATACAGTTTTCATGTCTGGAAAAAAATGAGGTAAAAGTGGGTATCATTTTAGGGAGAAAAAAATATAGTCATAGGCAAAAATTGGTTATCCCTGAAAATCTATTCTGTGAGAATACAGATATTTATGTTAACTTCCCACTACAAATGACAGAGCTGCATCATTATTATCATTCTAGCTGGAATATGTTTTAGGTGTGTTCCACTGACAGTTCCATTTATCTGTGAGTCCAATGTATTAGGGACACTATAGATGCTATCTTCTTGTCTAACTACAATTCTAAATGGATTTTGAACTCTACTTAAAGAATCTCTGTTAATTATATTTTTTGCATATACCAACAGATTTACCTATGATTAGTTTTTGTAAATTGTTTGCAGTGAGCTGGACTAATGAACTAAAAACAAGTTGTTGTTTTATAATTGTATAGAGATAAGCTGTTTATTTGATTTTGCTTTATTCCTTTGGTGGTTCAAAGGTAGCTGCATTTTCAAGTGTTTGTGCTGCATTTTAAATGCTTGAGAAAATAAAAATATTTGTTGTTAAATGTCTCTGCTTTTTGAGTTAATTTTAGAATGAATTTAGTTTCGATGTTATTTGACATTTCTACAATTTTATACTAGCTGCCACTATTCCTAAGTATTTACATATTACACATATTTTATTTTTTAAGAAATACTCAGGTACTAGTTGATTTATGCCTATACAATCACATAAATGCTCCAGTCTCCATATCCAATCACATATATAACTGTGTCATAGCTAAGATAAATGTTTTATAGTCACATTTTTAATCAAATAAATTCAAGCCCAGAAACACTTGGGAACTTGTAAAACACATATAATCCCAGGACTTTTTTCAGACCTATTGGACTAGAATCTGTATTTTTAAAAGGGTCTCCAACTAATTCATGTACATACGAAAGTCTGAAAAGTGTTGATATATATTATATTGAAAGTGGACAAACTGTGTAATTGCTAAATATTAGTTTAATTTATTAACAGTCAAAGATGTCAAAGCTATGGACTGACACTAAGATAATAGGAAACCATTATATCTGAAGACATCAATAAAAGTTCAACCAGGGTGTCAGAGAGATAGTTCAAGGGGTAAAGTGCTCCTTGAACTGACCAATTCCAGTTTATTACTGGCACCACATATCCCTGTGTAAATGCTGCAGGGAGTTAACTCTTAGCACAGCAAGGTATGATTTGAAAGAAAACAAAAAATATTCAATTAAGATTTTTTTCTCTGTTGAACTTGCAAATGCTTTTTTCACATCCACTAGAATTATTCTACATGACAGTATAGAGGGTAAAGTAGTACTAACTTTATACTCCTTAGATATGCTTGAATCTATTATTTTATATACTTGGAAACAGAAATGAAAAACTATTCATGTTTATTTCTTATAGCACAGGATAAAATTCAACAACAGGTAAGACTTTCAAAAATGCAACTTTTCTGCATAGCATATCTGTAAAAAAGCCACACAAATGAAGAGATTCTTCAGTATCATGTGGCTTATATATCTTATAAATTATAATAAATATAAACTTGGGGGGATGGAGCGATAGCACAGTCGGTAGGGCATTTGCTTTGCACACAGCTGATCCGGGTTCGATTCCCAGCATCCCATAAGGTTTCCCAAGTAATGCCAGGAGTAATTCCTGAGTGCAAAGCCAGGAATAACCCCTGTGCAATGCCGGATGTGACCCAAAAAGCAAAAAGAAAGAAAAAAGAAATATAAACTTACTTTTAGAAGATTATGTTAATCAAAATACTGGGCTTATGTAACAAATGTCTGAAGTTGGCATATTGAGCAAGAATAAGAGAGGAGAATATGAAGATAAAATTTTATTTGTAGTGAAGAAGAAATGCACTCATAACCTAAGTCCAGTAGGTGAGTGAGCAATATTGAGAAAGGGCCAAACTTACCAATCCTGTCCCACCCTTATTCTATCCTCAGTTTTTGCACAGTTGAAGACTATGACTTATATGGGAAGCAGGACTCCATGACTGGAATGGAAAAGAAATAAAGTTATGGGTAATTTTGTAAAACTCATATTATAAATGAGAAATTCATTAATGCATACTTCCAAGTAGTCATCTTAACATAGAAACACAAAATACGGGAAAATCTTAAGTATCTTCTTTATGGAAAGGCCAGGAAGCAGGATTCTCAGCATTCTTCTTCTATTATTTATTTAAAATATATATTTATGGTATAAATTCACACAGATATCTGAATAATCATTTAATAGTAATGAGCCCCATGTTTGTAAAAACTGCAGTGATCACCAATAGTAATTTCTGATTTTTCTTCAAATTTTTGTCTTCTATCCCAGCCTGGCTGCCAGCAAATAGTGAATATGTTTAGTAGAAATAAAGGTAAATCACCAAAGTATCTGTGTATTAATACATTAATGGACAACAGGGTCCCCTGAATTCATAAATTTCTCCTGCAAACAACTTTATAATGACATTTTGTTTTTCTGTCATGTTTTATGTATTTAAGTCTCCAACTCTACAAATGAAAGAAATCACAGTAGGTGGAATTACCTAGCATGATATGTTAAGTACAGAGCATTTGGTTAAAAATAGGAAGAATTAAATTATGAAGTAGACATGACTCACTAAATTCATCTAACACATTACACTTGTATGAGGGACTGAAGTATCTTATTTCCCCCTGGCAGTAACATGTGAGGAATAACAGGACTGTGGATATCTACCTGAGAGTTGAACCTTTGTAGCTAGGGCCAGGCCTACTTGCCCTCTAATATATAAAGATAGATTTTGACGACGAGTGTATTTTGTATTTGGGATGCAAACAAAACTTTTTTCAAACTCTAGCTCAGGTATTTTTCTCAGTGTCAACAGGGTAACTGATGAAATAGAAAAATATAGATTATAAAAATACTGGGGACTGGAGCGATAGCACAGTGGATAGGTCATTTGCCTTGCAGGTGGCCAACCAGGGTTCAATTCCCAGCATCCCATTTGATCCCCTGAGCACCGCCAGGAGTAATTCCTGAGTGCAGAACCAACAGTAACCCCATGTGCATCGCTGGATGTGACCACCCCAAAAAATTGTCTTAGGATTTTGTAATTTTGTAAGGACCGTTTCCACCCTGCTTGTATCCTACCCTCTGTTTGTAAAACCACCCTATCTTTTTTTCTCTTAACTACATGCTGTGTATTTTTAATTAATTAATAAATTATGTTATTCATAAATCTAAAATTTTATGAGGTTTTCTGTTTCATGATCTCTGGGATATTGAAGGAATTTATGCCATCAAAGTGATTTTGTTTTTATATTGAAATAAGTATGACAAGTTAATTTAGTTGACATGTCTTCCAGAAGGCATTTAAACTATTATTTTATATTTTTTTAAATTTGAAGCACCATGGTTTATAATAATTTTAATAATAGTGTTTCAGGTTCACCTTGTTCTAGCACCACACCCTCCCCCAGAGTGTCTACTTCCTTCCATCATTGTCTTAGGGTCACCTGCCATCTTCTTCTTGACCCCTCTCTTCCCAAGGGATTATAACCTTTTACTTTACTTTTTAATTTTAATTTACTTATTTGAATGGGGGTGGGGGAGCATGCCCTGTAGTTGTCAGGGATTACTCCTGACTCTGTGCTCAAGGATCAGTCCTGAAGATACATAGGAGATCAGACAAGTGCACCAACCCTTGTACTACCTGGCCCAGTATTTAAACTTTTAGGTTGAAGTATGACTGGAAAGTAATTGGAGTGACTTTATTAACCTGAAAATGTTCTATAATACTAAGATTATCCTAATGTTCATCATCATTAGGAAAAGAATATGTCATATCCATGAGCTGGAGCTACAGTATCACAGTACCTTACACACAGCTCACCTGGATTCAACCCCAGACATCCTATATGGTCCCCTGACCTCTCCAAGAGTGATCCCTGAGCACCGACAGAGCCAAGAGTTAGCACTACCCTACCCTCCTCAAAGAAAAGTACAGAAGTTTGACTATAATGAATAGATTTGGGGAACAGGGTTTGACCTAACAGTATTCAGGGGATTGGGAGTCATTCCCAGTGGTACAAGGCAAATTAGACCAACAGTTCAGTGCTAGAATTCAAGGATGCGATTCTGCTTGGGTCCTACAGTACTATGGCATCAGGACTAGAGTAGGTGTGAGTGTGAGCTTTCAAGGCACAACTGGCATTGTTGGGGGCACCCAGGCCCATACATAGCAATGTTCAGGAAGCCATATGGTAACAGGGATTGAGTCAAGGTGGGGTAACAGGCATTTTAACCCTATACTATTTCCCCAACACCAAAAATGGACTTTTTTTTAATTAATTAAATTTCTTTGACTACCAATAATAAAACTACACTTTTGGCATTAGTTTTTTTTTCTAGTTAAGTTGCTCTGCTTGATACTACCTGAGTGATTAAGAATTATGACCTAACTGAAATTTAATTATCTTTTTCATAATTAAATGAAGACACTGGTACTTCCATCATGGAGTGGCTGTGAGAATTAAATTAGCTAACTAGATTAGTTAAAGGTGCTATTAACATCAGCTGAAATAAATCAAACACCCAAAATATTAAAACCATGTAAATTTGGTAAATCATAGCAATTGTTACTTATAACTCATATGTTTCCTTTGCCAAATGAAATTAGTAGCCCTGGGAATATATCATTAAAATTATACTTTCAGAAACAAAATACTGAAAAAGTTATTATTACCATTATTGTATTGTTGGGGTGGAGCGATAGCACAGCGTTAGGGCATTTGCCTTGCACGCAGGCAACATGGCCGACCCGAGTTCGATTCCTCCGCCCCTCTCAGAGAGCCTGGCAAGCTACCAAGAGTATCTCGCCCGCAGGGCAGAGCCTGGCAAGCTCCCCGTGAGGTATTTGATATGCCAAACACAGTAACAACAAAGTCTTCAATGGAGACGTTACTGGGCCCGCTCGAGCAAATCGACGAACAATGGGAGGGCCTTTACTTTTTTACCTTATTGAATTGTTGGGCTGGAGGGATAGCACAGCGGGTAGGGCTTTGCTTTGCAAGCGGCCAACAAACATGGTCGACCCATGTTCAATTCCTCCACCCCTCTTGGAAAGCCTGGCAAGCTACCTAGAGTATCTCGCCCGCACGACAAAGCCTGGCAAGCTCCCTGTGACGTATTTGATATGACAAACACAGTAACAAGTCTCACAATGTTACTGGGCCTGCTCAAGCAAATCGATGAACAATGGGAGGACAGTGACAGTGACAGTGATTGTATTGTTATATCCTAGATTTGAGTTTACCCTACTCACTAGCTAAGAGTTAGGTTATACTGTTCATGGATGTTGAAAGCAGTCACATGATAATCCTGAATAGAGTCAACAGATTTTTTTTTAATTTACAGTAGTTAAAAGCATAAATATCAGCATATTTACTGTGGTTGAGCCTGTCTTCCTGGGGTGATATAGTCCAAATTAATGGATTTTGTGTGAATAGTAAACTTGCAGCACAGCTGGAAGAGACTCAGATTCAGGAAGCCAGGACTTGAAAAACAAGCAGAAAGCACTTTTTTTTTTCCACTTTGGTGGAGGGTGGGGGGGGGAGGAGAAATTCACTACATTCCTCCCAGCCAACCAGCCAACCACTGCAAACATCTAAGAAATAGCCCAGGAAAGCACAACCTGACTTTTACTTTCTTAGCATATGTTACCTGTGTCAGAAAACAAGAAGCCCACAGATTAATGTCATTTTGAGCAGGTCAAGCTGAGTACTTTTGACAAGTTAATTTATCTTTGTCCTTTTTAATTAAATGATAAAAACCTTGGAAAACTTGGAAAAGCAGCCTAAACCTCATTTTTGGAAAACTTAAAAGAGAGTTGATTGTGTTATAAACTTCCTAGAGAAAAATGTTCAATACTTCCCAAAGTTTTAGAACCATAAATTTACATTTTTTTTATTGTTGTTGATCTTGTCTCTGTTTGGGTGCCATACCTGGCAGAGCTCAGGGCTTACTCTTGGCTTTGTGCTCAGGGATCATTCTTGGCTAGCTCCTGGTCAAGCTTGCAGGACTATATTTGATGCTGGGTATCAAACCTGGGTCAGCTTCATGCAAGAGCAACATCGTACCTGCTGTATAACCACTTCAGCTTTAACCATGAACATAGTTTTACTGAAGAATAATTACGTATGAATGTAAAGCAGACTTTTTAAAAAATCATTTTTCTTCTTATCTATCAGAAATTGTAGATAACAATGAGTTCTGGGTTGCAAAAGAAAATTTAGTTTGTGCACCTGTCTCTTCAGTCTTTGTCAGCACATTAAACAGAAATCCACATCAGTCCCTGGCACCTCCCGAGTAGTACCAGGAGCCATCCCTGAGCAAAGAATCAGGAGAAAGCCCCGAGCAAAGAATCAGGAGATAGACTTGAGCACAGCTGGATGTAACTTCCCTCACCTAATAACTAACTAACTAAATAAATAAATAGTAAGGAAAGGAAAACAATATTTGAACAGTTGGGGCAGAGAAAGGGTACAACAGGTAATCTGTTTTGCCTGCACACGGCTTAACAAGTTTGATCCTCAGCACCCAATATGTTCGTCTAAGCACTACCAGAAGTGATCACTGAGTACAGAGCCAGGAGTAAGCCCTGAGTACCACCTGATATGGCCCCCAAACAAAAAACAAAACAAAATGAACATAAAAACAACTATATTAAAGCAGATGAGGATATAGAAGATGCAAAAAATATTCCATGTTCATGAAGTATAAAAATTAACATTATCAAAATAACCATCCAATCCAGAGAATTCTACAGAATTCTGCAGAGTCAATAAAATTTTCATAAAAGTTCTGAGTTTTTTTCAAGGACTTAGAATAAGCACCAATACAATTTATATAAAAGCACAGAACTCCCCAAATAGCCTAATCTATACTGTAGCACTGTCTTCCCATTATTCATCAATTTGCTCAAGCAGGCGCCAGTATCATCTCACAACAAATTGTGAGACTTGTTGTTACTGTTTTTGGCATATCAAATACGTCATTGGGAGCTTGCCAAGCTTTTCTCTGCAGGCGAGATACACTCGGTAGCTTGCTGGGCTCTCCAAGAGGGGATAGCCTAATCTAGTCTGAAAAAAATAAATTTTAAAAAGTTTAAATCATATTTCTGTACTTTGGATAATAAATAGTATAAAGCTATAATAATTGAAGCATCATGATATTAAAATACATGACTTAGCACAATGAACTAAAATTGGGAACCCAAAAGTAAAGCCTCCAATCTCTGAAAAGCTAATCTTTGACAAAGGTGCTGGATAAATGAATTAAAACAAGGTAAGGTAACTAATGGTGCTGGGAAAATGGAATAGCTATACACAAAATAAAAATAAAAGTAATTCCATCTCACATCATACACACAAAAATAGTAATCTTAAATGATTTAAAGACCCTGAGATTATATAGAATCTATAAAGTGAACTGAGAAAAATTAAGGGAGAACTCTTCAGAATCTCTTGAAAGCATCTTCAATGATTTTTTATCTCAGGGGTAAAGATAGTCATACAGCAAGAGTGGGAGGAAGGAGCATCAAGTAAAGTTAATTAGTTCAAATTTCATGCATTGAAAGGTATCCAATCAGAATAGATAATGGGGTGGCTGGATGTGGGAAATAACAGCGGATTAAAGAGCCTCCAGCCAGTTTTCCCCTTTCCCCTCCTCCTCCCCTTTTCTCTTAGCTTCTCCCTTGTCCTCTTTCTCAGCATCTCCCAATCTTCCCCACCTCTCTCACCCTCTCACCTACTCCCTCCTCTCAAGCCCCCTCTCCCTACCTCCTTTCCTTTCTCTCTCTCTCTCTCTCTCTCTCTCTCTCTCTCTCTCCTTCCCTCTTCAAGCCAAGAGAGTTCGGAGGAATTATATAGAATCTCCTCCCAAATTCCATTCTAGGTTTTTTTCCAAGCGTGTGTACGACAGATACCCCTCAATTCCCTCATTACTAAGCCACTGGTGACAATACAACCACTGATCGTTTATGGGAGAGTCCAAAAGTATCATCAAAAAATAACATATGTCATGCATTATTTATCTGATGTATTTTTGTAGAAAACATGCTGGAACAGGGTTTTGAAGAACATGTTCTGAAAATAGTAAAATCCAGGCTAGTCATAATCCATATATGTGAAGTGATTGAAGTGACTGAAGGACAAGAGTGACTGAAGGACAATAGGTTCACAGGCAGAATTCCAAAGTTAAACTGAACTGTTAATATACAGCTTTAGAAGCACTTATGTTCTTGTTTTCAGACAGTCAAGACTGAAAGCAGGCATTGGGAGAACAATTCAAAAAAGGCTTTAGGGGAAGGGCCTGCCAAGACTACAGGAAAACTCTCCTAATGAACTATTCTGGAGAAAGGCAAAAGTCTTTCCTCTTTATACCTCTTTTTAGCCAAGGTGGATAATAGATTATTTCTTTATTATATTCTAAGAATGCTTATCATTAAAATAGGGGAGAGGATGCTGAGATGATGATCTTCAAGTGTCCAGATCCAGAAGGACCTAGGTCATCCAGGTTTTCGGGAACCTCCTGAGCTGCCTACCTGACCTTTCATACCAAATGATTCCCTTTCTCTAGTGCCATTGTTAGAGTCCAGAGTCAACCACCCCTCAAGGACATAGAACAGAGCTGATAATGAAAATCACATAGCGAGGTTTATTGTTCCACCTAGCTGGGATCCAAATATATGGGATACAGCAGGTTCCAACAAGAACCCCGAGCACTAAATTCAGCAGGTTCTTATACTTTCATTTTGACAAGTATTACTCAACAATTTTCATTCCAGCAGGTGTGCATTTCTCAACTACTTTCACTATCCATAAAGTACATATCTATTTTTTTTTTCTCTTGGCCCATATCATACGGCCCACCTCCTAGTAATTACCTTCCGATAGTCTAACCTCATTCCAGGCACCTAATCTTTGACGACCATCGGGTTTTCTGCTTTAACAGTTTTGCAATCCCCCAGCTCTGTTAACCAGAAATGAGCTAGTTCCTCATTCCTGGAAGAGGCCTAAACAGCCCAAAGATCACAGAGCCTGTCATGGTAGTTCTTCGGCTGAACTGGCCCCAACACCATATTCCTGATCTTGTCCTGTGTCTTCCCCTTGAGCCTATCACTAATAAATTTCTAAGTGTATCTTATTTTATTGTGAAGTCAGAGGGCCCCCATGGGGAGGGGGTGCTTATGTGAGGCAGAGAGGAGAGAGAGAGACAGTCATTTTCTCACAATCTGCCTCTGCCATTCCAGGACTGGCAGGAGAGACTAAGACTGATAAAGTCTTCCATGATCCCCTTCGAGTCCCACCAGCCCCATGAGGTGATCATCAAGCCACTCCTGATATTCACTTGGTCATCTGGTTGAGTCCCACCACCTGATTTCTCAGGGAACCATGAACTCAGGATGTAGCGAGGAACTAACTGCTCTTTGCAGGAAAGGAGAGTCATTCCTAGGCCTCATCCCAGGTTTCCAGCTTCTTGCCCTATCTCACAGAAAAGAATTTCAGGAGACATGCAGTAAAGTAAAACAGATTTTATTTGAAGGGTTTTAGGAAGGGGAAAGAGGGAGAAAAAAAATGGGAGTGAGTAAGGTACTCAAGAAAGAATACAGGCTTCTCCAAAGGTGGAAAGAGCCCTACACACATCCCAGCATTAGATACAAAAGCATGAAACACATCTCAAGAGGTGAAATCTGGGTGACACATGTGCTTGGGTGCCACGTGTGCTCAGCCATACGGGCACATGCATCACATATATGTGCCCTTTTTGGCTCAAGGTAGCTTTGATAGGGTTTTTTCCCCAAGCCGTCCCAGTGGGGCTTCCCACTAAGGTAAGAGTTCTTGCTAGATCCATTGCCAAGGAAGGTAGAGTTGCGATGATCTTCCTTGAAACTTCTTTTCCTGACCTTTGTTCCTTCTGGAGGATCTATACAAGGGTCAGACCAGCCTTCTCTGTTCTGGGCTAGCTCCAGATAAAGGTCTTATCAGGTCTTAGTTACTATGCTCACAAAGTTGGTTCAGGCAGCCTTTGGGCTAGTGGTTCTACTGTTCCCTAGGAATTCCCTTTCTAGGTGGATGCTTCCCTATCTAGCTGCTACATCAACTGGAGGAATTGAGCTGATCTTGAAAGTTCTATATGTTAAGAAAAGTATATGTTTGTTATATGATGCTGTTATGAGAAATATACTAAGAGATTTGGTATTGCCACTCCAGAATCACACGAATTATATTCCCAACACAATCTGATTGACTGTGTCTGACATACAGCACAAGGTTAAGGAACTTACCTGGTACATATTGTGGCTGCTTTGATCCCCTGCATCACAGATATCTTCCCAACTACAACCAGGGGCAGCCCTCAGCACCAGCAGGTAAGACAACACCTCCCAATCAACATGATGTGATTGAAATCATTAAAAACCTTTTTGTGTTTTCAATATTGAATACAACGTTGTTATTTTTGAATACGGCTCTCACTCGTGACAGTATTTCCTCACATAGTGTTAGGTGCCATAGATCTCAATGGAAAACTTAAAAATGTTAAGTGGCCACAAGTCTGATCTTATATGCAGACTGAAACACACAGAGACAGGGCAGATTTTCAAGGATTTATTCAAAAAACAAAACACACTCATACAAGGAACTCAGTGCTGAAGGAAAACAAGCCTAAGAAATTTGCAATTCCAGTTGCCTTCCAGGAAAGGTTCTTAAGCCCTAGGCCTTGTCTGATTGTATGCCTGTGTGTCTGGGTGTCCCCAGCCAGGTACATTCTCAGCCTCTTCAGCAAGTTAACACCCAGAGTACAGAAGCAAAATTAACACTTCTTGTTTCATTTACTTGAATTATCCTTGTTATCTGTGGTCAGGGCCTTTATGTATATGCCCTTGAGGTCTGGCAGGATTTTCTTAGTAGGTTGTAAACTCATGACAAAAAGGCTTTTCAAAATGGAGCTGCTCTGGTCCTTTCAATAGGAGACAGTATTTGAGCTTTTGCTCAGAATAAATCCAATTCAAACTCTCCTCGGAGATTACTCTAAATTCCTTGCAAAAATATTTTGCTCTGGTAAATAATTCATGGGTTACACTGTTGTTTCTTAAATTTAAATGCAAACTGAATCACATGAGATCTTGTGACATTACAGATTTTGAATCTTCAGGTCAGAATAGATTCTTCATTTAGAGTCTTCATTTCTTTCAAACACAGTTCTAATAATCTTGGTGTCAGAGACACAGACTTAGATTTTAATTCCTATTTTACAATTGGGCTGGAGAGGCGGCGGCCAACATGGCCAACCC